CAAGGGATTAATCTCCAAAATATATAAAGAGCTCATGCAGCTCAATATCAAAAAAAAAAAACAAAACCTCAATCAACCATATATCTGTATTTTTTGATAGAATTCTATCCAAAAATCACAGGTAGTTTCATTGAAAATACATCATGTTAATAATTCAGTTTGGAGAGAATTGATATTTGCATAATACTGAATTTATTCATCCCAAATTTTCATTGACTTAGTAAATATCTGTAGTCTTTTTGGAAAAATGCTGTTCTGGAATATTTCACATGATTTTTCACATTATATTGCTCTTTGCCAATGTTAATGGATTCTTTTTTTTATATATACTTTCTGACTGCAAATTATTGATTGCTGCCTGTATATATATGCAGAACTCTTACTAAGTAGTCTTAATAATTTTAAAAAACAGATGATTTGTTCAGGTTTTCCAGGTAAACAATAATGTCATCTGAAAATAATATTTTGTTTCTTCCTCTCAGTTATTATATCATTTTATTCCTTTTGGGAACAATTATGTAAAACATTACAAACTGAAATAGTGAATTATAACCATATGTATTTTCCTGACTTTAATATGAATATATTTAGTGTTACATTCTTAAGTGGTATTTTGGCTTTACGTTTCATATAAATATTCTTATAGAGTTAAGGAGTTATCTTTCTTCCCATCATAGTTAAAATTTTTTAATACTAATGGGTATTTAAGTGCCATGTTCAATACTTAGAGTCATGCAGACTAAGTTTACTCTTCTTTGCCATGTTAATGGACTTAAATAAATTGATTTCTTAATGTTGAATGATCTTCAGACCTCTGGAAAAATCCCAACTTGTTCATGGTCTCTTTTTTAGTACCTCGACGGGTTTGATTTTACTAATGTTTAATTTACGATTTTTCACATATATGCACAAATAAGGTTAATTTTTAATTTGCTTTTTGCGAGCTATCTTTGAAGGATTTGAGGATAAAGTTATTTCAAATGGGTCAAATTATTAGGACTATTTTATGACAATGATTCTTTTAAAATGGTTTAAATAGCTAGGGAATCAGGGGTCTTTTGACCTATTGATACATTTCATCTATAAAACCAGTATAATTATTATACATAACTGTTGAGCAACTGTTCCCCAAGTATTTATAAGGGTTTCTTAGATTGGCTCTTTTGTTTCTGTCATCATTTTTCAACCATTGTCCCAGTAGTAAAGATGGATGATTATTTTGAATCCCTTCACTTTTTTCTTTGCTTATCTGTCTTACTAAAGAACTTAAGCCAGAAGGATAGTTGGTATAAGTTTATGACATAAGTTCAGTGAGTGAATAGCCTGACATAAGGCAGTGGAACACAATAGTTTACGGTTAGTCTATAGAAGTGAGCATTTGCTCAACATGTTTTGTTCTCTATATTGATGAAGAAGTGAGTCCTGTTTGGCCTGACAACCCAGTTGATCCTTAGAAAGTTTCTGTCCTGCATTGTTGTATCCCTTCCAAACATCTGCAATCATGTGTATGTGAGGTCTTCGGGTATATCAGCTCCAATGGTGTTTAATCAAATTAGCAGTCAGAGTCGTGAATAAAGACCTCTCCAACTTTTTTGTATCTTGCATTTATCTCAGCTCCACTCCTACAGAAGGATGTGATTCTGACCCTGTTTCCCTGACACTGCAGTCTTTTTCAGTAAGTAGAATTTCCAGGTCAGGGAGTGAAAACATCTTTTTATCTAGTATCACCTATTTTAAATTCAGAAGAAATTTATTCAAGCTTCTGAAGAGTGTATGACACACTAATTTCCAGTGCTAGTACAGCTGTTTGCTATTTTTATAGTTGTGTGGTCATTTCAGTGCCAGTTTGGATTTGTGAATTTAGATGCTTATTGCTAAGATGTATTGCAGTGAATGCTGGGAAACCTGGTATAAGACAGATGTTAACAAATTCTAGTAGATTCCAAAGAGGGTAACTTAGACAGTTAAAAAGAATGTAAACCCATACCTAATGTGAAAAAAACAAATGGAAGGATTTAGTTCTGCGCAAAAGAGCTAAAAAGAAAATATTAAATATATTTATATATCTGAAACATTTCTTTTTTAAAAAAATTAGACTTAATGCAGTAAAATTAAGACCAAGGGAAGAAAGTGACCATGAGGCAGATTTAATTTTGATAAAAGAAAAATATTTCTGATAACTATAACTGTCCAAGAGTGGGATTGGTTTCATCTTTAATGTAGTGATTACTCCACTTGTAAAACATTTCTCATAGAAATTGGGTGATCACCTAAGATTCCTGTATGAGGAATTATTCCCAATGTCCCTTCACTAATTTATTCAGGTTTTAAATTTCAAGTTATGCAGTGTTACAGAAAAAAATTACTTCCTTTGTTATAAATATTGAGGACCCAGGATCATTCCTTTCCTTTCATCTTACTGTTTTATTTGTACAGAGATAAAACTGTACAATTTACTTCAGTCTTTCTGTAGATTTATATAATTTTATGTTTATGTCTCATCATTTAATAGATTTTTTCCCTTATATTTTGCAACCAAAAGGCTCAAAATTGGTTTCTGGTAAATGAGAAACTGAAATATATGGTGAATAAGATACGCCTCCTTTTCCGGGTTGGAAAGGCAGATCCATGTAAAATTCAAAGCCAAATGGTAACTTTTTTCTTCTCTCAAACTTTAGATTTTTGAATCTTTAATTAGATGTATTGTGGTTCACATCTATTCATCTACCGTATATTAATTGAGCATCTACCATGTGGCAGGCATTGTGTTCGATGCTGGGGATACAACAGTGGGCAAATCTCTTCTCTAATGAGCTTCTAGTTTAATTGGGGAGGTGAGGGCCAAAAATAAACATACGAACAAGCCAATATAATGTCCACATGATGGTGACAAATGTTTAAAAGTACTAAAATCAGACAAGGAGAACGATGGGGCGTGCTCTTTTAGGATGTGCTCTCTGAAAGGGTGCAATCCAAGCCTCTGATGCCTGAGGCAAGAAAGCGAGTTAATGAGGCTATCTATGGTGAGAGATTTTCAGGCAGAAGTAGCGAGTTCAAGGTCCTGAAACCATAGCATCTTAGGGAATCAGAGACAGAAGACAATAAACAAAGAGGTGAGTGGCAGGAGATGAGGTCAGAGAGGTCCTTTAGGCATCAGAACCTCTAGTGAGGACTTTACACTTCGTTGAGTAAGAGGAAGTCTTTGGGGATGTTAGCAGTAGAGAAGCAATATTCAACCTTACTAGATTAGATTTAGCTTCACTCTACATTGTTTAGAACAGACTTCATGAAGGAAAATGCTGACTCTAGGATGAGAGTATAATAATAATTCAGTCAGAGAAGACGGTGATTTGGACTAGTATGCTAGTAGTGGAGATATGAGGAATGGCCAGTGCTGGATGTATTTGAAGGTACATATGCCAGGATTTTCTGGTTTAAATGAACGTCAGGATTGAAATTATTCCTAGTATTTTCTCCAAAGCTATTGAAAGAATAGAGATAAAATTGACTGAGTTGGGGGAACTGAAGTAGGAACGTATTTAGAGAGGTGATTATGAGGGTTCCATTCTGGATATATGAAATGCGAGAAAGCATCATGACAAAGACCAGGGCTGTCTAGCCAGAACATCCAGGTTAGAAGTCAAGCTCTGCCATTTGCCGGGTGATGCTTTGGGAAAGTTTCTTACTCTTTCTTGCTCTAGTTTCCTCATATTTAGAAAGGTAAAAATCTTGGCCCCTACCCACCAGCGTTATTGGGAGTCTATGTGCGTAAAAACACAGAAAATACTTTGTAGAGGGCCTGGTACGCAATGAAGATTCTGTAAGAGTTGTTATTACATACAAGGGGAAATTTTGAATAGACAGCTGGCTATATAAATGTGAATTCAGGAAATGTTTCAGCCAGAAATACTATTTAGAGAATGCTATGGTCTGAATGTTTGTGCCCTCCTTCAAATTCATATGTGGAAACCCCCAAAGGTGATGGTGGGCCAGTAAGGAAGTCCTTGGGTCATGAGGGTAGAGCTCTCATGAATGGGATTAATTCTCTTATAAAAGAGACTCCACAGAGCTCTTCCGTCCCTTGCCCCATGTGAGGACACAGCAAAAAGGCACCAACTGTGAACCCTGAAGAGGGCCCTCACCCAACCATACACCCCGATCTCAGTCTTCCAGCCCCACAAACTGTGAGAAGTTAATTTTGGTTGTTTATGAGCTACCTAGTGTGCAGTGCTTTGTGATAGTAGCCTGAATGGACCAAGACAGAAATCATAAACCACCTACATATTATATTTAAAGTTACAGAGTGGGATGAACATACCCGTGGACTAAGTGTAGGGTGAGGGAAAACAGAACTTAAGGAAAGTCAGGAAGATTAAGACAACACAAAAAGGAAATGGGTATGAAGCTTCCAGTGCAATGGAAGGAGAACCAAGGGGAAAAGGGAGGGTGAGTAAAATCCTGGAATATGGGTGAGAAATGTGTTTCAAGAGGCCGGAAGTGATCAGTTGTATCAAGTAATGCTAAGAGTTGAGTAACGTGACGATAGAGATGACCATTGGTTTGGGAAAATTATATGTCAGCGCTAGCTTTTAAGAGTGACTCCAAGAAATGCTGAGGATAAAACTGATGGGAGTGACTTTAAGGGAGAATTGGAGGAGAGAAAGTAGAGCCGGTGAGTTCAGAGACTCTCGAGAAGACTTACTCTGACGAGGACAAGCAGAAGAGGGCAGTGTCTGGCCAGCATGCAAATCTGAGACAGAAGGCTGCAGTTCTTATTTTAAAGATGGCAGATACCACACACCTTCCCCCTTAGGTATACACTGTATTTACGCATAGTATGGGAATCAGTCACAGGGCAGTGGAAAGTTTACGTTGCAGGAGGTGTAGACAACAACAGAGACAGGGCTTTGCAGAGGGGAAAGGAGATGGTGTCAGCTGTGTCACGTATGTGACAGAAGAACAAAGCAAAGCGTCAACGTCCAGTTGCATGTAGGTTAGTACCTGCGTGTCCTGGGAGGATACAGATGTTTCTGTTCTTATCGTTTCTTTTTTCTTAGTGAAAGGGTCAAGGTCATCACCTGAGAATGAGAAAGGGTGACAATGTTTAGGCAGTTGGAGGAGAAAAGAGAAGGTAGGACACAGTCGTCTACAAAAGTGGAAGACAGTTTACTAAGAAAACGCATCGCTCTACAAAGCAGTTGTAATGCTCACTTCCAGGCTGTCTTTGCATATGCTAAGCTGTGTTTCCCCACACACAATGTCCATCACAGTATAAGCAGATAGCTGGGATTTTTAAACACCAATGAGGTTTTTTTCAGGGAGAACAGTGATAAAAGGGGTGAACTGGGCAGAAGTCATGGGAAGTCAGAAGCTTCTGTCACATTCAATGGTTTCTGACTCACTTTGTGGAAAGGGCGTTACAGTATTTCAAGTAACTATTTATCTATTATTGTTAACTCTGCTTGGAGCCAAGTACTAGAAATTGATGAAAGAGTGCATGTTGGTATAATATTACCAGGAAAAATTAGATTTTTTGTTATGCAATATAACTGAAAGTACATTGCATAACATATTCTCTAGAAAATATGCATCAAATAAAATGAAGAAACACATTATCTATTTTGATTTTAAAATTTGTTCAAAGAACAGTAGGTATTTGAAAACTGATGTATGGGAGTAGGTTTTATATATATGATAAAAGCTACATCTGGTGTTTGAAGGTATGAATCAGTGTAGAACCCAAATGCATTTTTTTCTAACAAACAAAAACTTGACCTAAGGAATTTATTTAACTTTGAGTTCCTCATATTGTCAATGAAGACACTGGGACCAGATGATCTGTAAATGCCAGACAGGTCACATTTCTGCCAGCCTCTAGTTTTAGAAAGGCCCATCTTTGGGGTGGGAGGATAAAAATCTTTAAGTGCTAACAACTCAGAAAAGAAATTGTCCTGTACACATAATTCAATTTTTTTTTTTCCTAAAAATGTTGAAAGCCTCGGAGAGAGCAGAAAAGGGAAATGACTAACTTGGCAGTCAGTGCAAATTGTTCTCTTATACTTGAAGGCAGGCTACAGAAAGAACACTATTCCTTAACAGAATTCTCTACTGCCCATTCCCCTGAAGTTAGGCCTGGGTGGGATGGCCCTGGAATAGAGATACAATGTTGTTCCTTCCCCCTAGTATTTCTTTGAGAATTAAACTCACTCTGATGGGCATTCACTGCAGTTATTCAACACATGGGGATATTGTTATTCAGAAATAAAACATTTTAAAATTCAGGAATGCACCAGTTGAATTCAAACTATTTTAGTGACTTCAGATTTCATAGCCATAAATGTTTGATAGGTTTCGGTGTTAAAGACAAAATTTCATACTCTATCTACCAACTGCCATGAACAATACTAAAAAGCTAGTAGGCTCTCAAAAAAAAAAAAAGTGACTACTTCCAAATCTATTATCATTACTTTGCCTTTTTTTAGCCAAAATTTTTGTCTCTGAAAATTTTATCTTTCTTTTGATAGTATTTTAAATTTTATTTATAAAATATAATGCATGTCTTGCAAAGCAAACTATTATATTATCCAGGCTGCAAGGAACTTGGGAAACTTTAGTAAGAAGCAAAGCAAGCTGTCAGACATTTCAGTAATTGAATTTCTTTGAGGACTGCCTTGGCTTGTCGTCTCTGACTTCACTGTCAGAAGAAAATAAAATAACTAGAGAATTCATCTGAGATAACACCAGGGATATCTTGATATAACGCTAAGGCAAGAAAACTAAGTGTTTTCTCAGAAGCTCTTTGCATTCGGATACCCTCAACTAGTATGTGTGAGTTCATTTTAGCCTTGAGTCTTCATTATCTGATGCTGAGGTCTGAGATTAACTAATGACCTGTCAAATGGCAGTACCTAAGCCTTTCTTCTGGTATTAGGATGCACACCATCATTACTTAAAGTGCCCAATATACTCTTTGTCAATTACTTCATAAGTGCAATTCATATTTTACTGCTTCCGCACATGGATTGCTTGTAAAATGTTTAGTGGTTAATTAGCCTGGAAGGAAGTCCAACTTATGAAAACCCAGATAGAAGAAAAAAAGGTCATCAAATTAATGGCTTATTCTCCTGTTCTTCTTTGATAGAGCAATGTTAATCAGATCCCTTTGGAAATTTACCTTTGCAGCCTTCTCTATAATCAGCTCCAGAAATTTTCCCCTGTGGTTTTTCCCTTTGGCGTGGGCTTTCCTCCAAAGGACTTGAACGTATTAAGAAGAGATTGACAGCTCTCCTAAAAACCTCAGATTGTGCTAACACTAAAAGGAAATATAGGTCTTGAGATCTTTCTGTCCTGAGATCTGAAATATCAAACATGAACATTTAACCATGAATGAAACCAGCACTCGTTATTATGTACGAGTAGATTGCCCTTGAGTTTCCATTAATCAGTTAGAGGAAAATTTACAGAAAACCCATAAAACTACATGTATAGAAATATTATAAAACTATTTTTCTAGTCATGAAGATGTCAAATTAAAGAATTTCAATACAAAATACCACGTTGGCATATAAATTATTCATTTACCGTTCAACTTTACTACATGGTCTGATAAAAGTACTAGAAAATCCTTAAATTAACAAAAATGGTTACATATATTTTTCACTTTATTCTGAAAGGGAGGAATATATTTTTGTACTGTACACATTGGCAAAATCAATTATACAGTGTTTGTTAGCTTAAATATAAGAAATTCTTAAGGTCGGTAGCAGACATAGATGGTCATTAACCCCTTCTTCTGATATGAGATTGATTATATGAAAACCAGAGAACTAAATTCAACTTAGGCAAATGGTTTCAAATTCAACTTAGGCAAATGGTTTCAAATTGTTTTTTTTTTTTTTTTTTTTTACCCCAGTTCAATTGGCTGTTCATACTGGGTAACCTGGAGTTGAGAATGGGCCCTGTCCTGCTATGGCAGGTACCATAGTGCTTTCCTCATTATAATCTTAGATACTTCAGTCCACAAAGGATCTGCTGTATTTTGTTTATAATCAAAAATATGAGGATGTACTCTAGGGGGTTTGGGTGAATTCAGTATATGCTTCTTCTTAGGTTCATAAGAAGGCATAATTTTCACACTGTCTTGGGGGGAAAAATTAACGTAGAAACTTCCTTTTATTAAGACAGTAGAATTCTGTATTAAGTTAAATTAATCTTGTTGCACTACCCACAATAAAAAACATGTATACGCATCTGAACTAAGTAGAAGGGGTTTGTAAATTCATTGTTCTTTAGCCTGTGGCTGAATTTTTATGTCTTCAATTGGGCAGTTACTCTTTAGCATGAAGACCACTTCTTCTGTTACCTGGCCATCAAATATCTCAAAAGTCATAGAGTGAAAACATGTTGGAGAATGCATTAGTACCATTTAGCTCATCTTTATGAAATAAGTTTCACGTTTTTATCAATTCCAACTAGGATATTGCTATTAGTATTCATCAAACATTGCATTTGATGGCTTTATATGACAACAGGATAAAATTCTGGCAAGATTTATACCCTTAGTTTAAAGAGAAGACATTTCTGATTAAAGTGCTATTTCATATCAGAAGAAATAATAGATGCCTATTAAGGCATATGTGTGCTTTATAGGTCTACTGTAAATTTTTTTAAAATTAATTAATTAATTTTTGGCTGTGTTGGGTCTTCATTGCTGCGGGCAGGCTTCACCTGGTGGTGACATCTCTTGTTGTGGAGCATGGGCTCTAGGCACGCGGGCTTCAGTAGTTGTGGCTCGCGGGCTCTAGAGTACAGGCTTAGTAGTTGGAGCACACGGGTCTTAGTTGCTCCGTGGCATGTGGGATCCTCTTGGACCAGGGCTTGAACCTGTGTTCCCTGCATTGGCAGGAGGACTCCTAACCACTGTGCCACCCAGGAAGTCTGAGGTCTACTGTACATTTTTAAAAGTAAGTAAGAGCAATAAAACATCAGACATTATTAATTTGAGTTTTAAAATGGAATTTTAAGTGCCCTTTGTTTCACATAGTGATGCAAGTTGAAAAAAGCCAAGAAAATTATTTGGATAAATGTCAACACTCTACATGTGTATATAATAGTAGTGATAGAATAATGCTATTATTTTCTGATTATAATGACCATAAATTCCTTGTGTTAAATATTTTTAATAGATTAGAAAATAAAATCTACCCAGTATTATTCAGAGAGATATTCAATTGTGTACATGTATAATATTACATCCTACATAATACAAGTAAATCCTACTTCCCACGTAGTTCTGCATCCTCCCTTTTTTCAGTTCAAATTTTAAGAGAAAAATACGTTGAAGCTTATTATGTGACTCTTTGATGTTGGTCCAGGTACAATTCTTTGGAGGATTAAAATAGAGCAGTAAGGACTGTTTGGATATGCCGCCAAGAATCCAGAAAGTTATATGGCTAAATGCTGAAGCTGTTTCTTGGACTATTCAAGATATGCCCCCAGCAGAGCTCAGCTGAGTCTTCTTAAATTTGTTAGGAATGTACTGCCTTCCAGTAGGGACTTTACTGCTACACGAAAAGGCTTGAACCTTTGGGTTGTTTTGGACTCTGGCTCTCTACCTGGTGTTTCTTCAGGGTCTTCAAAGAGAGACCTCATGCGGTGCCCCCCAGGCTGAGGATGCATCTTCAGAGAATACCTGAGTTGGTTAGGGTACCTGTAACTCTGAGAGCACTGTTTGCTCCTCTGTGTAGCGTTTAGCCCTTGGGTGTGTGCTGTTTGCCTTTGAAATCTTACCACTTTATCCATTTTCCATGTGTCTATTTAACTAATGTACTTTATTATTTGATCTCATTTATAAATATTGAAAAATAAGTACTTTAATTCTCAGAATGACTGGAGATCAGCGGAATTACTTGGCCCTTTAAGAAGCACCTACCTCTCCTTCTGTCACCCTAGGGGAATTTTTCAACTCTAAATCAGCCTCAGTGATACATTAGGAATCTGTTACTCAGTATAATGCCCTGTGACTGAAAAATCTCCCCGAAAGTCAGCAAGGAGAAGATAAGGAAGAAAAGGAAATTCTAAGCATTTAATATGCATTGTCACAGCTGATTGTTATAACAATATTATGTGTGTATAATATGATTATTCTCATTTAACAGATGGTGAAAATGAGGCTTAGAAATTGCCCAGAGTTATATAGTGTTAGCAAACAATAATACGAGTATTAAAATCCAACTCTTCTCTGACATCAACTGTCCAGCTTTTAGCCACTGGAAAACTGTTATCTCTTTACCCACGAACAGTCCAGTCTCATTATGAAAACACAGAACATCTACTTTTGTTATGATCAGGCCATAAAAACACAAAATAAAGAAATGGGAAGGAAGTCCCATTCAGGGAGGGAAACTTCATTGTAAATGATGGCATCCAACTTCTGTAGGTAACGTAGTTCTCAGTCTGCCAATTCCTCCTTGGAGAGGAAACAGGAGTACACTCAAAATCAGGACCCTGGATTCCTTTGTTGCCAGTGTGCTGCAACTGACTTGTCTTCAAACTGAGTGGTCCAGTGGATTACTAAAAAGATTAGGTTTACAATCAATGCAAAATGGGTTTTAACCTGCACAGGCTCTTACTGGCCTGTGGCAGATTAATTTCTTTGATGGATTTAGACATTTTTAAGATAAAATAACATTTATCTTTCACATTTATAAAGAAAAGCACAGAATAGGTGTTCAATAATTGATAGTTATTGACAGGTTATTATAGTTACTGTTACTTACTTTCTAATTAAGAAGTCTCTGGGAGGGGGATTTCCTCACTCCACCTTTTATAGAATTTAAGTGGAAATTGACAAGAGGTTGAATAATTTTTAAGAGATTTTTAATAAATATATATACATATCTAGGAATACATGTAGGAACATATATATATATATATATATGATATTCTATATAGTTGAACAGAAGCCCATAGACTACAGATGTTCAGATTCTCCCTATTATGTTTCGCTCCAGCTGTCCTCAAAGAAATTTTTAGATCATAAACCATTAAATCAGGAATTTTCCCTGTACTATTCACCTCGAGACGTGAACAGAAAACTATGATGGTCAAATTACAGCCACTCCATGGAAACTGGCAAACGTATGGAAATGAGGGCCTCAACATTTTCCTGCCTGAAAATATTTCCTATTTTCCTGGTTTAATGCTATTTTTAATCAAGGTTTTTCAGGGCCAGAAGCTTGTGTAATTTTATGAGCTGTTTTTAAGTAGAAAAAGCACAAAACTGCAAATAAAAAACTAGGGCTTCGGATGGAGCCTTGGCACTAGAGCTGATAGAGCATCAGCTTTATTTCGAATCTTCCTCGAGATCCAGAGTCTATCATATTGAAAATTCCTCCCCACTTGTAGAATCTGTTTAGTTCCCTTTACATTACTGATAAGTATTACCCACAATGGCTTTTGTTCCCAAACCTTCTCTCTGTTACCACGCCGAAGTCCAACCCCACTTTCCCCATCATATTGCCCTCCTTCAGTCTTGAGTTTCTCCTTCCTCACCTGATCACCTATTGAAAGTTTCTAATCTTTTGTACCAAAGCAGTCATTAGACTAGCTATGTTTCATTTATCTCAACTTGTGTGGTACTCTAACCACACAGCAATGACTGTATGTGAGATGTTCAGAAAATCTGTGTGTGTCTCTCTCCCTCCCACACACCTTAGACATTTGCCTGATGGCTGGGGAAGATAATCAAAAGGTTTTCCATGAGTGCGGATCCACAGTTATGCTGTAAAAAGGTCTCTAATGGCAAGTTGGAAGCATAGCTTGAAAAGAAGTGAGGTGAAAAGCCAGGATGGTTGGTCTACAGTAACTATAACTGAAGGTCCAAGGAGGACTGTATGAGTGGGGAGGGGGGGGGAAGGAAGAAATATCATAAATATATTCTTAAGAGAGAAAATTGGTGGAGCTTAGATATTGATTAGAATTAGAGAATGCAGGGGGAGGGGATTTAGAAAATTAAGTTATATTTGTCATGTTTCTATCTTGAGGATCTAATTGGATAATGGCTCCAGCAAAAGTTATATAGAATTTGGAGAAAAAATGTGCAGTTTTCTAGGTAGAAGAAAACCTTTGTGGGAGCCTCGCTGAAGTTTGTGTATGATTGAGATATTTGTCTACAATATGTGATCCCAGTTGGGCACACTTTAAAATGACCTTAAATTGATTCAGAAAATTCTGGTTCTCTTCTCTGTAGCACTTACATTGTGCAGAATACACATTAGACTTCTCAATCTCTATTGTAAAATATTTGCACTGCTCTTTCAGGAATCCAGAATTCTCCTGTTCTTGGCTCATAAC